GATTATAATACAATGTAATACTCAACTTAAAAAGCAAAACATTGTCAAAGGTTGCTCTCAAGACAATTTTGACTCATTGTAATCCCATGTGTTTCAGAATAGGAATATACTAATTAGGGTTTTCAATGGCTGTGACCTAGATCACTAGACCTTTCTTTAAATGCAGCTCTAGGTGGCTTTGAACCACCAGCCTTAGTAACAGAGTGATTAATGATTTGTACCACCCAGGGATGGTGCCATTGCAAGATGTCTTAACTTTATCTCCATAGACAAAGAGAACCACCAGATGTCTTCAAGGAAAAGAGTGATATAATCATAGTTTGATTTCTGAAAATAATTCTAGGGATAGTGTGGGAGCAAAAATAGATGGAATAATTAGGACAGGCCATTGGCACAATTTAGTTGAGACACATTGAGAGCTTGCATTAGGTATGAGAAGAGAGAATTTTTAAGGGTTTTTTGTTTGTTTGTTTTTAAATGTTGAATTAATGTAAAATGGTTCTGATTTCAAGGAAGGAGAAATTAGAACAGAAGAGTGATTAAGAGAAGATGAATATGTAAGGGAAGTGAGGGAGAGAGAAAAAGTCATTGTGACCATGAGATTTCTGGCTTGGAACATAGACTGAATGGTGACGGATTGACATCAGAAGTTAGTTAGGAGCCAGTTAGGAACTATGTGGAGTTGAGTTTAGTGAGTGTTGCATTTGAGATGCCTGAGGAGCCGTTGAAAATGCAGACCTTATAAATGGAGAGTCTGCCCTCACTACACAGTGTTGTGGTCCTCTGCTCAGAGCCAGCAGTGAAGCCAGGTGAGAAGAGGTAACAATCTGAAGAGAACATGTAAGGGCATGAGGGGTCCTATAGTTCGTAGTAGGTCTGCACATGAAACAAAAGTGCCCTGGTGATGTTCTGGTTAAGCGCTCACTTGCTAACTGAAAGGCAAGAGGTTTGAACTCATCAGGTGCTCCATGGAAGAAGGCTGTGGATACTTCCAGAACAGTGACAGCCTTGGGAACCCTATGGGGCGGTTCTTCTTTATCTTATCTAGGTCACTTTGACTCAGAATCAACTCCACAACAATGTTTTTGTTTTTGTTTTTTAATGAAGCAAAGTAAATGGAATATTTTATTGATAAACCTACAAGATTCCATCTATGTTCTCCAAAGTTACCTGTTTCTATTAAAGCAGGTTACTAAAATAGATTCCTTTTCATAGAGCTATGTAACTGACAAGTAAGTGATCCTATTTGATCCTAAGTTCTCATCTGTCTACAATCTAACCCCATAACTGGTCTCCCCATTGTGCCTCCTCTTGCCTCAATACAAGAAATTCTCAATATAGTTGTTGTTAAGTGCTGTCGAGTTGGTTCTGACTCATAGCAACCCTGTATAGATAGGGTTTCTGAGGAGCAGCTGGTGAGTTTGAATCACCAGACTTGTGGTTCAAACCAACCTTTCGACCCAGTGCTTATCCTACAGCACCACACCAGGACTCCTCTCTACGGAGTAGTGACAGTGATTTTTATTTTCAACTAAATCTTATGTCACTCCCAGGTATGAAATCCAACTTTTTTCTCTGACCCTTGATGACCTCTCTTACCTAATTTCCTGCATCTCCTTTCATTCATTAGATTCTAGCCCAGGGATTCTTTCTTATGTTTCTACCTTATGGCCTGTGCACATGATAGGCATTCAGTAAATATATGTGAAAAGAAGGAATGCCTGGTTCATTTTGTTGATTGTGTAAAGTAAATGTGATAGTATATGAACTCTTTAATAATGTGTGTAATGCATTGCTGTTAAGTGCCATCGAGTTGATTCTGACCCATAGTGACACTGTATAGGGCTTCCAAGGAGCAGCTGGTGAGCTTGAACCACCGACCTTGCTGTTCAAACAACTTTGCAGTCTGATGCATTAGCCCACAGCACCACGCCAGGACTCTGTGTAATACATTAGGGGGTATAATAAATGCCACTTTTGATAATGTTTGCCCTTGTGTTTGCCTCAATCCATATATTTAACAATGTTTCTCTATCTTCTTCTGTTCTAATCTACCTTCTTAAATCTTCCATCTAATCAATTAACTATCTTCAGGTTTCTGCATTCCTGTGGACTGCAGGTTACATGCATTGATACCTCTCTTTCTTCCGTTTGCACTTAGTATGTCTTCATCTAATTTCACACAACTTTGAATACACATCTTCCCCTAAATTACCCCCTTTTTTAATTGTAGATGGGTTCCTGGTCCCAAGGATCGAACACATAACAACCCTCTTGCTGGAAACTCCCAAGAAAATGTGAATCCTCTGGAGACTCAAGTCTCTATCAAGGAGCTCTCAGGGCACACAAAGCAGTATCCTGATCCCATCATCCTTGTATGGGTTTGGATCCAGGGATTCCTAACACGTATTAAGTACCACTCTGGATCCGGCAGTGTCCTGAGGACTTTATATACATTAAATCACTTTCTTAGTTTGGTTTTATCCATATTCCTATTTTATACTTGCTAACTTGCCCAAGGTCACACTGCTAGAAATTTGCAAGTTAGGATTGAAACCCAGACGGTCTAATTTCAGATCCCTGCCCTTCCCTGTGCTTTTATATTCTGCAGTACCTCAGTAGCAATTCCAGGGTCATGGAGTTAGCTTTTCTTCTTTAGTGTTTGATTTCAAATTTGTGAAGAATGCAGTTATCATTTTTTAAAAATTCCAGTAGTTCCTCTTTCTCATTCTATCCTAAGACTCCAAAGTTTTATTTTCCTTAAGGAGATGACTTTTAACAATAATTTCAGAATTTTCTTCTTTACCATAAAATTTTCTCTTTTTTTAAACCTTTAATTTTTTGCGTGATCCTCATCGTAACTTTTTTGTTTGTGTGTACTTCTGGAAAGTCAGCCCATTCCTACTTAGTTGGCAAAAGTGTTAAATTACAAATGGTCCAAAGTGCTAACCCTCAGCTGATTCCTAGAGAATGGTGTTTGCCTATGTCCCAGGCCTACTTCTAAGATTAATTTATTTTATTTTTACCTGTTTGGAAACCAATTACATGAGTTTCTGCTTGAAGGAGACCTACTTTTATCAAACTCCAGGATGAAGAATTCTTCAAGCCCCTAGGACCAAGGTGTTATTTGACAATTCATATGTGACTGTATCACTTTGATACTTAGAGAAATATGAACAACAATCCTTCCTGTCTAAGGAAATGGGTTTGATGCTCTTTTCATGGCATGATTTTATGGGAGCAAGAATCAAGTGTTTTCCTCCCAATCTAAAGAGAGTTTTGTTTTTAAATCTTTATATATATATTTCTATTCCTCTCTCCCCAAAGAAGCACTGTAATTTTTAATCATCAACACCAAACTGCCTCTATGGAGATGGCTGTGCTTTTCAGCATGCGGCGGAACGATTTCCTGAAGAGTGAGGTCACTAGAAGCACAGAGCAGAAAAATCCCAGATGGCACTAATATTTGATTTCATTTTTAGCACGCTCATATTCAGCAGATGGATTGGAAGGCTGACCTCCCTGACACTTCTGCATCACTGCTTGCTACTCCAATTGCCTTTGCGCATGTTTTTTCATAAGGCTTCTCTTGGTACCTCAGAGATTGATGCCTGGTCGGCTGCCTGTGTTATGCTTCATTACGCTCAGGCTCTGTGTGGTTGAGAGTTGCTGTATTCCATAAAAGGGGAAATCTTAGCTCATCAGTATCTCAGACTTTTCCTACAATCCCTTAAATTGCTTGTAACATCTTAGCATCATTTTTGTGTCTCTATTTGTCTCTATTTTAAACATATCCTCTTCTAGTTTTTCTGCTTTCTTCTATGACATGATTTAAGTTAATTACAATATTTAAAAAATCCTCTGGCTGTGGCTGTGTGCCGTCGAGTCAGTTCTAACTCATAGTGACCCTGTACAGGGTTTCCAAGGCTGTAAATCTTTACGGGAGCAGAAAGCCTCATCTTTCTCCGGTGGAACAGCTGGTAGTTTCCAACTGCTGACCTTGCGGTTCACAGCCTGCTTCGTAACCACTACACTACCAGAGCTCCTTAAAAACCCTCTAGAAGATGGCTAAATTTACCTGTTAACATAACATACTAGACACAAAAATTTACTTTAAAGTTAAGGTTGCTGATTTCCCCCTTAACACCATTACTTCACTGATTAAGGGTACAGACCGGGATTGGAGTTTCCAATTCTGCCGTTTACTTTCTAGTAAGTTCTATTTACTTTAGGGTCAACCTTGGTTTCCTTGTTTGTAGAATGGTGATGACATTTGTACCTACCAGTTAGGATTATTATGAAAATTAAAGAGGCTAATGGACATATCACAGTACCTGACACATACATAGTTCATGCACAGTGAATATTAGTTTTGAGAATGCTTATTAAATTTCTGTTGTGTATGTATATAAATAAATAAACCATACCATTTAAATAATAAAATTAATGTGTTTATGTTTTTGTTTGGATTGTGAGGGAAATAAACTGGTTGTTAAGAAAGAAGTGTTTTTAATGATTACATCGATGCCTTGTTCCAAACCTTCTATGAAATCACTTTATTAATTTTTGTATATTATAGCATAGCCTACACTGATCTCTGGACATGCAGTTCCCCCTTCGTCTTTCTCTTCTTCTGTCCAGCAAGTTGATATTTCAGTGATGTGGTTAGAGAAAATCAAGCATCACACAGCATGCATATCCAGCAGGTGTCTGTTTTCTCTGGCAGACTGAGCTCTGTGGCTACTCTGTAAAGTTCTCTGAGAACACTCGACTCTGAAGAAGTTTAGGTTGCTTCTGTCCTTAAGTGTTGCTGGTTTGTACATCATTAGATTTTGATGCATATATTCATGAATAGCATATTTTGGGCTTTAAAACCATATAAGTATTTAATAGACTTTCTGCTCAAATCAGATCTCTACTCATTGCCATTTTGCTGAATTTGGGTTTTCGATGACTAGACTGTTGCTTCATTATGAAACCTTCTTTTTTCCTTTTAATAGATCAAATATAAGACCAGACTATGCAGACTCCAATTTCCATGACTTCAAAATGCACACCTTCACTCGGGTCACAGCCTGCAAAGTCTGCCAGATGCTCTTGAGGTAAGCTTGTTCCATCCTATTTTTCAGTTTAAAGGAGCTGGTATGGTTGCTAGCCTTTTCAGGCCTTTAAAAATATCCCCGCCAAAGTCTTCTGAAGCTGGGATATTGCCTTAACACTTTGGACCCAACAGATTTTTGTAGGCCTTCAGCCTGAGCTGTCGCTTTAGAACTTCCAGAAAAGTTCTCTCCCTCCACTGAAGTGTACTTTGAATAGCACTGTGGTATCTTTTTGGCTTCTTGCACTAATGATTTCATATAGGCTGAATTTAGCATCTTTTTAATATATCACTCTCTAATTTTACCTTTCAGAGGAACATTTTATCAAGGCTATTTATGTTTTAAGTGTGGTGCGAGAGCACACAAAGAATGTTTGGGAAGAGTCGACAATTGTGGCAGAGTTAATTCTGGTGGTAAGTCATGTTTATTGTTGTGCTCCTGTTTTTAATTAGGATATAAAGCTTGCTAAACATCATTAAAGGCTAATTTTCCCTTAATTTATGTTTATTGTAACATCTCTGTTTTTGAAGCTACCTTTTATAAGCACAATTAGAAATATGTTTAAAATTCATGTGACTTTTGGACATGACTTTTGTTTAAATTGTTTAAAATTCTGTGACTAACTTTATACATATGTTTGAGGTAGAAGGTTTCAAACTGGATTTGGAGTGCTTAATGTCACCCATTTCTGTCACCTAATCCTCTAAAATCTATCACTGAACCTGTACAAATATGACTAAAAGGGAGAATCAAAAACAAAATACAGCAACCAAACATCCCACTCTCTACTTTCTCTCTTATTTGCTTTAACAGTCAGCTCAAAAATGCTAATGACATCAGAAGTAAACAAGCACACAGACTTATTAATGAATTAATGAATCAAACACATTGTCATTTTCTAGCATTTAACAAAGAGGATATATTGCTTAGATTTTATGTAAATATTTCACCTTCATTTTCCAAAACACTGTTCCAGGAGCTCGGTTCTAAGACGGGCGGTAATTATGCGTTGCAGAGCCTTGTGCCTCTCTGGGCTCCTCCTGGGCTCTCTTCCTTCTCTACCCTCTTTCTTCTTTCTCTTTCTTCTTAGTTCTCTTTGTCCTTTTCCCCTGAGTTTCTCTGAGTTTTATCAATAAGATCTTTCAAAATCAGTAAAACTTTTTGAAAACAAGAAAGGGATCCTTAACAGCTTGAGTTCAAAAGGTAGCCATGTTGACCTTTGGTTTTCCCAAAGGAAAAGGTGGACATAGAATTATTTTGGATAATGTGAAGAAGAGTGAGACAGAGAATAAGAGATCATTTCCGAGCTATGTTCGGAAAATGGGCAATTGCAGAAAAGGTGTGAATCATACTCAAGGACTGAGATCACATCACATTATTCACTTGACTGATTCCTTGTTGATATTATTTGGTTACATGTCATCAAATCGCAACTCTATGCACAGCAGAATTGAACACTGCCTGGTCCTGTATCATCATCACAATTTTGGCTCTTTAGTATACATTTTAAGAACCCACCATGTGCCATTCTCTGTGCTAGACACAGACAGTTACAAGGTGAAAACCCCCAGCATTAGTTGAGCACATGTACTGTGCCTGCCCTTGCCTGGGCCCTCGGCTAGGCACCTCAACACGTGAGCTCATTCAGGCTTCAGAACAGACCGTCCCATTTTGTTCTAGGTCCAGGAAGTAAAGGAGTCCGAGTAGCAAATACCTCATTCTGAAAGTCAGAAATGTTTGACAACAAATTGTAAGATGTTACAGAAATATTACCAATGATTATTGCTGTTGTTGTTGAGGAACAGCCAGATTGTTTTCTACAGTGGTTGTATTGTTTTACAGTCCAACCAGCAAAGGATAAGAGTTCTAATTTCTCCATATCTCACTAATACCTGTCCTTTCTTTTATTTAATTGTAAAAATATTTGTGGATGTGAAGTGCTACCTCACTGTGGTTTTGGTAGTGTAGGGTTACATGTTCAGCAGCTAACTATAAGGTCAGCAATTAGAATTCAACAGCTGCTTTTCAGAAGAAGGACAAGGCTTTCCCATAAAGATGTACTGCCTCAGAAACCCTGTCCAGAGTCACTATGAGTCGGAAATGACTTGATGGCATGCAGCAATGACAGCAGCAGCAATAGTCCTAAGAGGTCCTGGTGTAGTGCTGTAGGATAAGCACTGGACTTGGAACTGCAAGGTCAGTGGTTCAAGCCCACCGGATGCTCTCAGAAACCCTATACGCAATTGTTATGAGACAGAAACGACTCAACAGCACTTAACAACAACAGCAAATGAACCTAAAAGGAACCCTGGTGATGCCATGGGTTAAGTGTTGACTTACTAAATGCAATGGGTATACTTAAAACCACCAGTCACTTTATAGGGGGGAAATGAGTGTGCTCCCATAAAGATTTATGGTCTCAAGAACCCTACGGAGTAATTCTACTCTGCCCTGTTAGGTTCACAATGAGTTGGAATCAGGTTGGTAGCAGTGGATTTGTTTGTTCATTTGTTTTTAATAGACCTATTGGTACTGTGGGTTAATGCACTGGACAACAGAATCACTTTGAACTGCAAGGTCACCAGTTCAAGCTCACCAGCCGCTCCTTAGAAACCCTATACAGGGTTGCCATGGATTAAAACCAACTCGATAGCACTTAACAACATCTTATTTTTTATTTTTATTTTTTTTAAGGTTTTTATTGTGGATTGAGTGAAAGATTACAGGGCAGATCATCAGTTTTACATTCAACAAATCATACACCTTGTTTCATTACAATGATTATAATCTTCTCATGTACCCACAATTAACAGTATTTCTGTCTATTCACTTAAGCTTTATAAAACAAAACAAAACACCAGGCATATATAATAATTTACACCTCCAAAGGCACATTCTGCAAGTCTGCCTCCTGGCCCCCAGCTCTTAGTCCCTTTCTTCCCATAAATCTAGAATCCACAGCTGCTCCCTCTCTTCATGACCCCATCTCTGCCGTTGTCTCTGGCATTGCTGCTTCTCTGGATAAGGTCTGCTTCTGCTCTTCTCCCTTGATGGTCCTAGGGTTCTCTGTTTCTGGACTATACGATTAACCACTCCCCTGTTTATTTATGAAATTTCTACCTTTACAATTGTGACAGTTGAAATTAGTCATGATAACAATTATTCACTATTGAATCATATGAATCTTATCCCCATCAATTTTCACCAGACCCATCTAGACAAGATGAAAACTATTCAGTGGGAACTCTTTCTTCCCCCCACACACTCTTAAACTGAACGCCATCTTGAAAACTTGTAAGCCAGTCACTTTGTGCCTTTATCGCCCTCTCATTTTAGATAGCCAATATCTAAGTTGCCCATCCCTATCTACCCTGTGTACAGAGGGGATAGCATTAATACTTGATGTGAAAACTTCTTCCCTCTCTGTTGGTATTTACCGTAGTGGTTATGAATCGGGCTGTGAAACTTAAGGTCAGCAGTTCAAAACTACCAACTGTTCCATGGGAGAAAGATGAGGCTTTCTGCTCCCATAAAGATTTATAGCCTCAGAAACCCTGTATACAGGGTTGCTATGAGTTGGTTCCTACTCCACAGATATAACCACCACCACCTCCATGATGGGTACTGTCTGCAAGTTTGGGTGTTCTTGTGCATCTCCCCTTACTTCATACCAGCTGGATGCTTCACTCTCAGCACTAGGACTCTGTGGCTATGTCCTTGTCCATGGGCTCAAGTGTCTCCCCAGGTCTCACCATACTTTGGATCAACCAGCCCATCCTCTTCTCTCTCTCATCTCCAGGTCAATGTGTGTCAGTGGACTGTGGTTGAACTCAGCCTATTTCTTCATTGCTGCCTGTCCCCCTCTTCCACTCACCAGTAGACCAATGTGGTTACCAGCAAGCTTACATGCCTGTTCATGTGTTCCTTTGAGTTTCAGTCTTAGAGGGGAGTTTGTCCTGAAGGAACTTGATTGCTTGTCTTGATGGCTTCCTGACAAACAGCTTGCTTATTTTTATAGTAGCCAGTCTTGCTGACATTTTTGTTTTGGGTTTTTCCTGATGATCTTTCTTTGAAGATGTATCTTCTGTTACTCTAGCTGTTCCAGGCTGATCCGCTTGTCCTTACTAGTCGGAATGTCCCACCTCATAAGGTTCTAGATGGGACTCAGGATTCCACCTAAGGTCCTATATTCTGCAGAGGTTATGAAAGAGGCCTATTTCAATGGGCAAGTTCTAAAACCACATTTAGGTATTCCAATCCATTATAGGCTGAAGATGGGCTTACAAGTTTTCTCTAATCATGTTTCCCAACATTCCTTTCTATCTCACTCAAGTGTCTATTTTATAATAGTAGAGTAGTCAAGGAAAACTAATATTCATAAGACAGTCAAATATTTTTGTATTTCCCCCTTTTCAAGCTATGCCTAGATCCCTGTATCACAGAGCCCTGTTGTTTCAGGGTTAAGCATTCATCACTATTTACTTCTGTCCACTTAGGCCATGCAAACCTGTCTCAGTGTTCCCCTATCTATCTTGTTCTTCCGCCTCCTTCCCCTTCTTGTATTGCCCTCCCCAACATCCAAACTAAACCCCCCACTGCAACTCCACTATTGTGGTTACCTTATATTCCATTAACTCTTCATTCCATTTAAGACAGTCTATTTTATCCTGTAATCTACCTGATCTTCCCAACCACCTGGATCTCTGTTCCCATGTGTTTAACTTCTTTCACATTGTGATTGTTTTGATCATAGACTGACCTCCCAGATCTTCTTTTCTTATTATTTTATTCTGTTCTTGACTCTTTTTTTGTCGATTAAGTTCAGGATGTTGCTACCACATATGTCATTCTC